TTTTTGTTTTCTTTATATCTGATCTTCTTAATTCCCACACCATCTAAACTTCTCAGGTAACAGGCGAATTCAGACAGGTTTCAGAATTGAGTTAGTTTCACTAAAACATAAAAAGTGTGGGGGACTGTTTCCACAGGTATCTTTTTTCAATGAAACACATATCAATGCCAAAAGGTCTCATATCAACTGACCAAAAACAAAGACAAATTTAACCACTTGTAATTCATAATTATCGAAAGAGTTTAGGTTAGGTTCAGTCTAATTTTAGCACTAAACAAAATACAGTATTTATTTACCAAATTTTCAGATTTTGTTTGCTATTAAACATTGATGACATTTCATGTAATCTCCATACTCATTCCATAACTTTGCTCCATAATGTTGAAAAAAAAACTTGAACATTGAAAAAGTGGACTAGTCATTGGCAGTCTGGTTCTGTAAGAATGAACTTGACTCAAATTTGCTCTGTCCATAAAAGGTTTGTCATCAACACCTAAATTTGGGACAAATGAAACTTATGCCATTTATTTATTTTGTATCCAAAGTTAACACTGCTGGCTCTCGACCAGGTCACTTGTGGTCAAAAAAAAAGAAAAAGAAATACATTTCCTTTCAAATCCCTTCTAATATTGACTCATGAGTGCAGATCATCCTTCACTTACTTTATTAAAGTGTTCATTCAAGCCATCACACACCTGCAAGGCTTCACAGTGTCTTGGTAAGAGGGGTTGTTTTAGTACAACTAGTGACTGAAAGAGAAACATATTTTTCTCATTAGAGGCCAGACTCCATTAGATTCAAGGTTGTCAACTCTCAGTAACTTGCTCGGGTTAATTGTTGATGGAGACTTTTAAAGCTCTTTGCAGGCTTTATCAGGGCCGGACTGGGAGATTTTTCTTCAGGCCTGGAGTCAGTCATGTAACCAGGCCAGGATGGCCAGGGTGGTAACATTTTACATACTCCAATCTAAAAAGGCCAGTAATGACTTTGCAAAGCTCCTTGAGAAAAAAAGACGTATTAGAAAAGTAGCCTTCACTTCCAAATCAACTCCAGGGCCATTTGCTTTTACATTTATGCCAGTTTTATTGTGTCTACTTAATATAAATATGAATCACATCATTTATTTTTTGTCTTTTTTTTAGTTTCTTAATTGTAAGCCTATTTCTCACAAGTATTATACCAAAGCTAAGGATATAAACCAACTAATTCTGCCTATAAAGCGAGCAGTTTTTCAGCTTATTTCTCTGACTGACATTACCAGTGTTATAATACTGATTTAAACTCCAACTCTTATCCATTCTCATTTGAAAAGTGATTATCTTTGTTGAGCACATTTCTGATGTCACATTAAAGAAAACATATTTTTCATTAATCTAAGATGTTAAAACATCTTAGATTATTTTAGCACACAAGCAATGTAGTTTTTTCTTCATTGTACAAGGGGCGTGCTGAATAAATCACTAACAGATGGGCAGGTTGGAGCTTGCTGGGAATGTAGGGAGAGTAAAAGTCTAACTTGCGAGTCGCCAAAATGGAAAAGAAATCAAGAATTCTTCTATAAGGTTTATATGGATCAATTGGTCATCTTAGGTGAGTTTTCCCTTTACTCTTTGTTTTGAATATTATTTGGAGCTGATTGAAAAGTCTAATTACCAATTATTACTGAATGCTCTGTCAGAAACAGTACATGAGAAGAAAACAGTGATTGAGGCATTTTCAGGTTTAATCTTTATAAGTAGATCCTGACTGGAAAAAACTGAAGGTTACCTTAAACTGCTTTC